ATGCAGATCAATGTTTTATTACAGATAAATCATAGACTAAAATATTTAACATATCATTAACAGCTATTGTTACTTGTATCACAGATGGAACACCAGCAATTCTATCAAAATTTATAGCAGCTTTTATGCATTCATTTTATAAGCCTTAAGTTTTGCACTTTGTTGCAAAGCAAACAAGTTTGTATTTTATGTTTGACAGTTGTAATAAATGCAGTTTATTAATTTATTAATAATAATAAAAATCTAATGCAAAATATGATCAAGTATTCAAGCAGTTTTCTGAGGACTGATGAAATACGGTTGAGTCATTCTTCACACATGCTATCAAAAGGCTAATGCACGACACATTTTGTGGAATTATACAATGCAGTTTTTGAGAATTTTGTATTTTATTCTAAAACTTCTAAAATAAACAAATCAATTTTTCATGAAATTTTATATCAAAGAGACAAGATTTTGTATTACAATTGAGTACATTTTCCTTAACAAATAACATTCAGTGAAGACAAAAGATTTCAACTTAGAAATTGACTGTACTTATAAAGTCTAAAGATGTCAACATTATTTTAAAAATTTAAAAAAAAAAAAAAAAACAAAGACACCTACAGCAAAATTAAAGCTCAGTGGGAAAAAGTTAAAAATAAAACAGGTCAGCAACCTAGTCATGTACGAAAGACTGCTCAGATATGACCTGCTACTTTGAACCTATGCCATAAAGATATTGGGTGGAATTGCCATCATGTGATACCCTGAAGAGAACCTGGGGACAAAGGCTTAATGGCTTCTGTGAAGCACAATAAAGGAAATGTATGCCCAGTGATGGATTATCATGAACACAGTGAACATGACATATTCACATCAAGTGCAAACGATTGTGAAACAAAATTACGAGAATGGTATCAACAAGGAGCAAACATAGCCCTACTTAATTTAAGGAAAACATCCCTGCAGGTACATATTAATGAATCATTGTTGCCATATCAAACTGTAATGATCAAGGGGAAATGATACAGCCTGATGCAGTTGAGATCTGGCCTTAAAATGGTACACTTGGTCATGAAATCCATCAACAGCACTGTGCTGTTGCAGGAGAAGTCACTCAACAGAGCAGTATTGGCCTTCAGTGATGATTTATACATCAATGAAAATATTATGGCTGCAAGAGAAACTGGCACACATTGGTCTTATGTGTTAAAACCCAAAGCAGTTAAAAGAGGCTGCATGCATCCTTAGACTAGAAGTATAGGGGGAACAAGATGACCTGAGATGGAAAAGGAGGAGTCTGTTTCTAGATGCCCCTGAAGTGATGATGTAGCAAAATACATTTTCCATGTGCAAGAATCTTGTCAGACATCTCCCCGTATGTGGGTGACTCTGGGTGTCAACCAGTGTCATCAAATAAGCTCTGTCATGAAAGAACGGAATGACATAATTGAGGATATCCTTTTTAGACACATGATAGGATAAACTATGAACAGAGCATAGTAGAGTGACCCAGCCTGAGGGTGATTGGTATGTGGTCTGGCAATAAATCAATGTATGGATCAACGAGAGTGACTTTGAAATAGACATAGCACTGGAAAGAAATGGAACCATTTTCAAAGATGCAAGTTGGCTTCAACCCATCAAAATGATACCCACCACATCAATCTGGCTGAGCAAGATGCTGCAGTGAAAGGACTCAATCTGGCACTCCAGTGGTGAGCCAAGGTGTTACATATCAAAATCACTTGTACCACTGGCTTTCTGATACATTGATGGGCAAAGCTCAGATACACAACAGACAAAATGTTGCTTCAGTGAGGACTGAGCACAGTTAAAGATCTGGTCCAGGATTATGAATTATCTGTAGACATGTTGGTTGCATCAAATCAGAACTTGGCAAATGGGATGACAAAAGTACCACAGAAGTTCTTCAAAATGGCTAAGAAGAGGGTTGAACCCAAGCATCAGATGTGTATTTTCAGTCAAATCATGGGTATTCACCACAGCAGTGAATACCTAGGGTTGCAATGCACTATATATTTTGTATCAAGAATATGCCCCTCGACATCCAAACAAATTGTTAAGTCTGCAATCAGGCCTTAGTAGAGCCATCACCAGTTCATTAGCAAAAAGGCAAGCTAGAAGAAGGCAGTACTTGGCACAAGGGTATGGATATCACTCACTACAGTAACAGTCTTATTTGACCCTGAGGGATTGCAATCCAAGATTAACTGTACATCAACCATTGGCCTGACAGGATTTGTTCAGCATAAAGCATCTACTGGAGTTCATCTTTTATGGAAAAAAGGTTCACCCCCACAAACTACTCACAGATAATGACACCATATTCCACAGCAAGGAGTGCAATGTCTTCATGGAAGAATGGGGTTTGCACTTGAAATTTCATTGTTTATAACCCAGTGGGAAACGAAATAGCATAGTGTCACAGGAGTATAAAGAGAGTTGCAGTTGAGAAGAAATGTTCCATCCAAGAAGCCACATATTTATATAATGCTACCCACTCAAGGATGACACCGTTCACCACTCACTGCACCTGTCAATGGCATCTACACCTATGTGGTTCAACTCAAAGAAATCAATTCAGTTCTCCAATGGAGCCAAAGACACACCCAACAGAATACATGATGGGAAACTCTGTGTGAAATCTCCACATAATCGATGCAAAACAACTTTTAATATGGGACATATCACCAAAGATTGTCAGTGCACATGTCGTCCTAGTGAATGATGTGCTACATTATATCAAGGATCTGTACCTCTCCTGGCAAAGATCCATCAACAAGTAGCGATATGTATGAGAGTGAGGACAGGGCAAACTTGGTGGATATGCAAGACAGACACTATGCCCCTTCGGTAGAATCAACTGAAAACAAACTGGAGGAGAACATGTTATCCCTACTATGGAAAAGTACTTGAAAGAGACCTGCTATCAGCTGCCATACATATGATCAAGAGATTAGGGAGGAGTGTGGGGAAGAATCACATGCTCAGTTGTGAAAAAGGCACCAAATCATGTGTGTATGGGTCAAAGGAAAAGGAAAAATAGCAAAAAAAAAAAATCAGGCAGAAATGTGATGCTAGTTTTGCAACCTGTCACATCTGGGCTTTTGCCCCATGTCACTTATCAATAATAATTTATGCAGTCAGGCAGATGGTGAAAAGAATCAACATCACTGTCAGTTATATTCTCTTCATGAGTTTGTTCCAGGTGCTAGTTGCTTCCTTTTAGTGAAAGTCTCATCTGCTGAATTGTCCCATCATAAGCTCCCCGACTTACAGCGTCATCTACCAAGTGCTCTTGTTGGTTGATTTTGTTTAGCAGCATAATGACCTCTAGGGGTTATTTAATGGTGAAATCTACATATTTTGTACATAATTTTTTACTTTCAAGGTAAACTTACGTTTTTTTTTTTTAGATATATAGTTTTTTTGTAGATCATAAAATGTATTGTCAGTAATTTTATATATATATATATATATATATATATATATATATATAATATGTAAGCAAATATATGGATATAGATCCGACAGTATGAAGAAAAATATACTGAAAAAACAAACAAAAATCCTAATATGCGATTATGCTGTTTTAATGTTTAATGTCAACGTCGGACGTTTCGGTCTAATAGACCATCTTTAGGACATATTCATAAAGATGGTAACATTAGACCATATTTTCATGTTGACATGTATAATCGTCTATATTAGGATTTTTTTTGTTTTTTCAGTATATATTTTTTTTTTCTCATAATGTTGCATTGTCATTTTTGCTATAAAAATCTATTGTTGGTCATTTTATTATAAAAATAAATGTATTGACAATACTACAGTATTGTAGATTTATTTTTTGGTAAGAGTAACTGCTCATAGCTGGGACCCTAACAGGAGCTATCAACGCGGGTCAGGGGAGACCTGTGAACAACAGCAATTAAGAGGTGGTTCCACACTCATCAAAACTTCCAATCTCCCAATCAGAGGTCTTATGTTTACTTGCATTGGACACCCTACTTCAACCTACAGTACACCTTATTCTTGAAACCAAAAATAAAATTTATTGTTGAAGTTTTTGAAATTTGGAATGAATAATCTGAAATAAAATATTCTAATTTTAAATGATTAAATTTGTAGAACTAAACATTCATTAATTCTAGCTAAAAGTTGCTCTGGATATATTTTATTTAAAAACCTAAACCAGAAAGATTACAAATTTGACAGAAATTTTATGTCAAAAATACACAAATGGACAATTCCCCCAACTCCTTTCTTTCCCTAACTTTTCATCTGCAAGTAAAAAGTAGATATGACAAAATAAAATTAACCCTAAAAAAAACAAAATTCAGACATACTTTGACTTTAACAAATAAAATGTCCATTAACTTCTGCAATGTCGATTAATATATGAATTATTTTTTTAGAGACTGATTTATTTTTTAATTATTTATCATAATAAAAACATATTTTTCTTTTTACGAAAAAGTGCCAATTTTTTTTCAAAGATAATTTTATTTTAACAGCGTGACAAATTAATATTTATTTAGGCAATATTTTCAACTAAAACCTTTTCTTAGTTTGAATATTTTTTTTTTATTTTTTTACAGATTTTAATAACGAAAATTAAAAGTAAAAGTCGGCATAACAACAAATAAATATTAATTGGCTTCGTTAAAAACAAAAAACTGATTCCGGCCCAAAATCTTAAACAAAGACGTAAGAACTTTCTATATTGCATCTAAATGAGAGAGGAAAAAAGCCACGCATATCTATTTTTTTTTAAAAAAAAAAAAAAAGATCAAAAGTTTAACTGTATCCATTGTTGCTTTTTTTTTCTACTTGAAGAAAAACCATAACAACATTTGTCGTTTTTACGACGACAACAATCATTGAAAGAATGGAAGATAAAGTCTAAAAATTTAGGGTAAAAAGTTAATTTAAATAATAGTTCAAGACTTAATTCAAAATTAATAATCAAAATAAATACATTAAAATCCAACCTTGAGTAAGTTTTTTCTGTCATTATCGTCTGTCCGTTACTCGTACGACTTGGAGTACCGCCATTGTTGTACCTTAAACTAATTCTCTTACCAACGCCACCATTCCACTCTGCAGCAATGTTTACATCGACAAAAACGGAAAAGATCAAAACAAAACCATTGAAATATCTTTAGTTAATTAAAATAAATATTTTAGAAAACTTTGATTCATTAACCATTATTTAATTTTAAAGCTAAATTTTGGACATTTTTTAAACGATTCGTGTTCCGACTTGCTATTCACTTCCTAATATTTTAAAAGTGGCGCAGGCGCGACATTCTTCAATTCAGTGTCAAACATGGCTACCGATGAGAAGAGGCCGAAGAAAGGGATATTGAAAAACTCCTCAAGTTTCGATAAACCAGAGAATTCCTCGTAAGTTCCTGTCCTATATTATCCCCAGTATATTCTAAATGCCCCTGAGATCATTATTTCTTCATGTTCATCCCTGTTTTTTCAATCCTAACATTGTTTGGGTGGGAGTAGTAACACCACACACTGTCTTACTCTTAGTCTTGTCCTATCTTGATGTTTTATGTTGTTTTATTTAAAAAAAAAAAAATGAAAAATACTGGAGTGAATCTTTTTAGTTTGCTTTTATAGTTAATGATTTCTTCGACAAACTTGTCTAAAATATCAGATTTTTTTTTTTTTTGATGGGTTTTTTTTGTCGTTCGGTTTGTTTACTTTAAAACGAAACATTATTTTTTTTAAAATGGTACGAAATTAATTCGGTTACTTTAAGTTAACTGAAAAATAATAAAAATATATGTTTTACAAAATTTTAATTTAAAACAATCGCTACTTTATATTTTAGTATTTCATATCAATTTTTTAAAAATATTGCTTTTTATTTCTTCCAAAATAAATTTAAAAAAACTATGTAAATGAACTCGTTGAAATTTTGTTTGTAAATAAAAATATATTTAACACTTTTTTTTAAAGTGATCAAGAATTTACATTTTAAATATAATTTTTTTACAGAAATAATGTAAATGAAATATAAAGAAACAAGTTAAGAATTTTAAAAATAAATACTTTTAAAAAGTAAAAAACAAAACAAGAACCCCAATGTATTTTTCTGTTCATTTTTCTAGTTTTTAATTTTTTAAACTTCATCAAATTAAAACAAATTTACATCTTAAACAGTTTTAGATCACATGATTTTTGCGTTGCAAAATTGGTTCTGTTCAAAAGTTGAATAATTAGAATTTTGAATTCTTTTCTTAACTAAAAAAGGTATCTTTAAGAAACTCTCATTTTAAAAACATTGACGCAATACTTTTTTCTCCTTCAAAAGATTCGGCAAAAAAATGTTTTAAATGTCACTTTCGACATGTGAGACTAAAAAGCAAAAAAAAAAAAAAAAATGAACTTTTTTTATTTGAGGAAATGAAAATCAAAGGTGAAAATAAGTGATTACAAAAGAACAGTTTTTTTTTTTTGTTTCATCTGATTCATTTGGGATGCAGAGCAAGAAAAAATACCTCACCACCGGCTCTAGGCGGTTAGTCGACGAAAGGACATAGTTGGAATGATGGATTAGTGATGGAATAATTAATAATATCCTTGTATCCGACGTCTTTTATTCCCTTCAACAAACGATCAACTTAAGAAGCTCGGATTTCAAATCCTGCCGTTGGAGATCACATTTTATTGATGCAAAGTAATTACTGATTGATGATATGACAAAATTTATAAACCTTGCAACCTTGTCAAATTTCAAAGAACACTGAGAGATTAAAATGTAAAATTCATCCCTACTGATAAAACTAGAAACATATACACATTTTCCGAACACAAGTTATCTCATCAAAACGTACTAAGAAAACACAAGATTCACAGGTAGTCAAATAAAACACAAATCTCTACAATAGATGACTGCATAAGCTGCTTTGTAAAATCACAATCAGCCATCACAGTAAAAGACCACAAAGAAAACTTCATAGCTAACCCAACATGTAAACCAATAAACCCAACAAAATGAATTAAATAAAATTATAATAGAAGAAATTAACTATTAACTAAATAAATTAAAAAAAACAAAAACAAAAAAAAAAACCTTCAGTCTCAAATGATAGAAAAAGACAAGATCAGAAGAAAGAAAAATCAAGAACAAGACTTGTTCCATAACACAAAAAATATAAACGTGAATTCACCCAACTTGGTATTCAAGATTTCTATCTAAGCATCACTAAATCTATATTAGATGATCCCTTCTTCCTAGCAAAGGAATACATAAAAATCACTTCAGATTAAGTAAATATTATAAAATACTGTCAAAGACTGTTTCTAGTTAGCAACAAAACATGTTTAAAGAATGGAACAGAGGAATCATTTGACGTAATCATAGGAAGCTATGACAGTGAAAAGCTGCCGAAATAAGAGCAAATGATGAATATGCATCTGATTTTCCTTTGTTTTCATTTTTGTTTACAAACATGTAAAAATTCACAACCCATACACAAATTATGTAGAAAGAGGTGTTGGAATGGCACCTTTTGAGAGAAAGAAAAAAAAAATACAAAATATGTATTTGTTATAAATTTTAGTCAAATGCAAGATGAAATCATGTTTTCCAAATGTCACCTATTTAACCAATTGGTTGTAAATGGCCATTGTACAGGACCATCACTAGGTGCTTTATACCTGTAGCTATTTTAAGCTCCACTATTGTTGCCACTTGCAATGGTTACAAAGATTCATGACATTACCAAAAACATTTTCACAAAGTGACATCATTGTGAGCTGAACTCTGGTTATTTGTTACGTTTTCCAACTGCCAATTAGCTTTACCATCATTGACATATATGTGTTTGTTTGTGTGTGTGTGTGTGTGTGTATATATATATATATATATATATATATATATATATATATAACCAAGGTGTCCTGATGCAATTTTCAGGGTGGGGAAAAAGTTTCCTGCCATCTAATGAAATCTAAAGCATGTATAAGGGTACAGGGAATGTTAACTCAAATGAGGAAATAATATTAGATTAATCTTAAGGCTTTTAAGTTAAATTTTGATACTTTTAACCTTTTCCTTCTCATGACTGCAAAATTTAATTGCTTTCATCTCATTCTTTTAAGGGCGATCTTTTGAATATATGTACTAGGGTTGTTTTTATGATCTGAAGTTATTTGCTATGAATATCATATCAAAACCTCTGATAAATTAGTAGCTAAGGTGTTTTTTTTTTTTTTTTTTTTTTTTTTTCTGTAAAATAAATCTAGCTATTAGACTTCTTTTTCTTTTTTTTACACTAAGTAAATGGCATTTATTTCTTTGCACTTCAAACAACATTGATCAGAAAACTTTAAAATAATTAACCATATAAAATTTTAATTTATATTTTAAGAATAATCACTTTCTCTTTTTCTAATAAATGTTATGTGAAATGTTTCTTTTAATGACTCTTCATTTGTGATCTTGATCTTTTGTATGAAATAAAATTTCATCAATAACTTTCAATAACAAATAAAAAGGTTAAAGGTAATTTTTATTTTTTCCTCTCTCCATTTAAGCTCTCAAACTGTTGTCTAATTTGCAGGTGTGAAAAGCAGGGTAAAATAGTCTTCATTATTCCTTCATTATGTAGATAATGTCATCAATCCAAATATTGCCATTAATTACATGAATATGTATACACAATTTTACCAAAGTTCATTTCTTTAGCAGACTTTAATCGATTTTAAATCCAAGCAGTTCACTTCAGATATCTTTAAGCTTTAAGATCTACAGCCACTTGTATGAACAGACATGTTTTCCCTGTGTGTGTGTGTGTGTATGTATATATATATATATATATATATATATATATATATAAATTTTTAAATAAAAACTAAAATAGGAGAGGGTTGTAATTTGTCAGTTAAAAAAAATCTTGGGTTTCTAGTAATTTTTCTCTCCATTGAACCGAAATATGCAAAGAAGAATCCGAGTTCAAAATAAGCAGAAACAATGAAAAATTGTTTCTGTGTTGAATACCTTCCCCAGGTCAATTATTGCAGACCATGTTAAGTGATGTCTTTGGCACTTAATTCCGTTCCTTAGCTTAGTTTTTTGTGATCTGAAAATGAAACATCTAGATACATAATTCTTTGATTAATTTAAAAAAAAAAAAATTGATGTTTTAAGTGGCAAATTTGCATTGCTTCTACAATTGTGAAGTACTTCTCCAGGTTTCAACTACATCTCAACAACTTACAAGGTGTGCATGATACATACCACTTGAGTATAAAACTTCAAGATCTAATCTTGACAATAATATTGATAAGAAATCTTAAAATAGTAACAATATTTTTATGTAGAAGTTTTTGAATATTTTCCTCTCCAAAATTTGGCTCATCTTATTAAGATTGTTGGCAAACCTGGTTGAAAGCTTAAGATATTTCCACTTGACTGCATTATCAATTATTCAATCCCCTCCCCTCTCTCCCAGCTTCTCACAAAGGCCTATCAATTTTCTTCAAAATACCTCTCTGGCAGTGGCTGACTTTCTACCTCTTACCCAACACCCACTACATCTGACTGACTTGTTTCTGAGCCAATTCCACAGACCTAAACTTTCTCTACTGTTTTGGATATTTGCTTACTTAAGCATTTCATTCTTGGCCAAAGAGTAGGTTTGAATCAACTTTAAGTATTTTGTTAGTTGCACAAATGATTTCTCTTGGTTGTACAACTGTTGTTAATATTTGAGTCTTGTTTGTTCATTCTGGTCTTTCTTTTCTTGTAGGCGGGCTTTTAAAATTGTCTCTGTAAACAGGCACAATAGATAATTATGACTTCCACTCCTGTTCAACAACTGCTTGTCTAGGAACAAATTTCTCAACTCTTCAATTTACCTCCTTTCTGGAAAACAAGGAGACAGAGGGTGAGTGGGGGAGGCATAACTATTTTTGTTTTGGAAGAGGTGTTTTTTGTTTTGTTTTTTTAAGAACTTTATTTAGAAAAGTATCTTTAAATTTAGATTTCTCTATTCTGTTAAGATCCTTTACCCTGTCTATCATGATGTGAAAATATATTTCTCTCAAGTCCTAAGTTAAGGACAATCATCTTTACACATACTCTTCCATTTTTTTTTTTTTTTTTTTTTTTTTTTCAAACAGCATAATCATTAACTGATTGTATTTGAGTTTTTACATCAAACTAAAGTCAGTTAAAATGTCAAAAATACTTTAAACATTTACAATTCAAGAAAGCAATCAAAGTGTAATTCAAACTCAACAAGAACATAATGTCAATAAAAGATTGATGACAGTCAAAGGGCTTAAAATTGGTTCTGGGTTAAATATAAAAGCAAAGAAAAAAAACTAAAAAAAAAATTTTTAATCTTAAGTTACCAACACACTGATTCAATTGACATCCA